AGTCTATGGTCCTTTAGTTTAGTTCCCATTGTTTCTGCTATGCATTTTATTGTTTCATGTCTTATATTCAGGTCCTTAATCTATTTTGAGTTAATTTCGGTGTGCCATGATAGACAACAGTCTAGTTTCATTCTTTTGCAGGTAGCTTTCCAGTTTTCCCGGCATCATTTGTTGAAGAATCCTATCTTTTTAGATAAACTAATTTTCGTTTTTAGATACTTTCAAGATCCTCTCTTTTTGTTCATTTCATTATTTGTCTGTGGGGGTATCTTTCTTAACTCCCTTCTTAACTAACTATATTTGACTCTTGAACAACATGGAGGTTAGGGGCTTCAACTCCATCCCTCCCCCCACCGTGCAGTTGAAAATCTGTGTATAACTTTTGAGTCCCCCAAAACTTAACTAATGGCCTACTGATGACCAGAGGCCTTGCTGAGAACATAGTCGATTAACACATATTTTATATGTTTTTTGTGTTATGTACTGTACTCTTACAACAAAGTAAGCTAGAGAAGAGAAAATGTTAAAATTATAAGGAAGAGAAAAAATATATATACAGTATGTATTGAACAAAATTCCACATATCAGTGGACCTGTGCATTTCAAAACCATATTATTCAAGGGTCAGCTGTATATGGCAGCTTCCTATAGCTATGTACCTGAGTGGTTTGCCTGTATCCATAGAGGATTTTGCTTTTGTTGGGAGCCGTGAATCTCTACCAGCCTTGAACCACTTGAGCCCTGTTCCAAGTTCTTCAGCTTAGTGTGTGAACTCCCTTCCCCTCACCACCCCAAGCAAGTCAGGGGCGTAGGCCCGGGTCTGTAGCCAGTGTTGGCATGTGCCTCATGATGCCTACTTTTCTCTAGTCCTCTCACTGCTCAACTCAAAGCCTTTCTGCTTTTTTCCCTTTTATTTTAACTGGAATTTCCCTCACCTCTGTGATATCAGCTATGCACCAAGAACTGTTTTTGTGCATGATCGAGTTATTTTGCCAGCACGCGGTTCTGTATAGTTCGGATACTAACCTTTTTCTTTACATATGTCGTAAACCTTTTCTTGTAGTCTGCCTTCTATCTTTAACTTCACCTTCAGCTGTGTAAAAGTTCTTTGGTATTTCATAATTCTCGTGTGGCGATCTCATCTTTAATACGTGAACTGTATGCCTTTTATCTTTCTTTAACTGGAAATTTTGTGATTGTCGTTTTTTCTCTTTTTTCTGTCATCTGGTAAATTTTTTTTTCTTCCTCTCCTGAGATTCCCGTTAATATGGATGTTGACATTTCCAACTCTGTCTTCTATTTCTTTTATTATTTCCTGTCTTCTGCTGGCTTTGGTAATTTGTCTTTTGGCAATTAGAAGGCTATCCATGAGTTCTTTATTTCAACCATTACATTTTTTATACTTAGTAGTTTTGGTTGGTTCTTCTTATATCCACTTGTTTCTTCACATTATCAATATCCGGTCATTTCTCTTTGAGGTAGTTTAAATGCTTACTGTATAATCTTATCTTTTAGTATTTGATTTTGTTTCATTTGATAGAGGTTGTTGAGTTTATTGAAATTGAGTTTTTGGAGTTGAGTTTATCAGATTATCATTTCTTTTCCCTGTCAGCTCTTTCTCCCTCAGGGCTATTAAGTTACTTTGGCCAGTAGCGTATGTGGAGGCGAGAGTAGCTTAAGTCCTTCCTAGTTTGGAGGGCTAGAAAGAATGCTGCTGGCGTTACAATCTAGGGCATGGCCATTGGACAAATGCTCCTTCTCCCCAACCAAGTAACTCAGCCTTTGGGGGCTTCTTTCTGTTCTTCTGCCCTCAGCTGTCTTCACTGTTGTCACCCCTGGGTGTAGGAGTGGAGTGGGGGACTGCTGAGGGCCAGTACTTCTCTGAGCCTCAGCCTGACCTCCCCATCTGTGGCCAATTCTGTTTTTCTCCCCTGTAGCAGTGATGGAGTAGGTGTTTATTCACCCAGAGCAACTTAGAGGGAGTAAAAGCACGTAGAAAGTTCTGTAGCAGTCCTCCCCATTCGAAGATTTGGTCTGCTTTTCTTCTAAGCTACCGTCTCTCCTCTCGCTCCTCTACCCAGTCCCAGGACCTAGAGGTTTTCATTGTCCATTAGCAGGGAGAGTAGCTAAGTAGTGTTATATTCATAATTGAATATTACACAGCAGCGAACATGAATGAACAAATCCGAGGAAACTAATTGAGTTTAAAAAGCAAATCCCCAAAATACGTATAGCATGAGACCATTTGTATTAAGCTAAGAAACTAGTAAAGAATATATTGTTTAGGGATAGATATAAATGTGATGAAACTATTTGAAGAGGGGAAAAAGGGACAGTGAATGGACAGTTAAGGACAGCTGTCATCTCTTGGGGTGGAGAAAGGCGGAGATGGGTGTATTGCTCGGACATGCACAGCGGCCTTGGAGACTTGGTTCCTGAGCTGGCTGGGGTTTCAGCTGCTTGGTTCATTAACATGCTTCCTAATTTGTATAAAAGAGTTCACAGAACATGAGCCTCCAAACTAAGTCAAAAAAATGAATGCTAAGTATGTGTTTCCAGATTATTCACTGTACTGGATGACCACATAGTGATCCTGTTTTTTTAAGCAGCAGGCTCATGTAATACATTTGTTGTCGGGTTAATAATAAAATTTGCTCTGCTAACCTCCTTAACACATTCTGTGACTCCTTTATACGATGCAATAAGTTCATTTTCATTATTTAAATTTTATTACGTACTCATCTCTACTAATATTTAGTTAAATGTATTCTGAAAGAACCACAGCTTTGTTTTTGTGTCTTTGGTCTGTTTTGTTAGAAATTACATTGATTTGACAGGGACCCGAGAACTCTTTTGCAAATTTTTCCATGCAAAACATATTAAAGCATTGGCAGCTTCTAATCAGAAAAAGAGCTAAACTTCGGTGACAAAAAAACGTTTTATTCTTTCCTCTCTGAGTGACTTTGAGTGTTTATAGCATATTTTTATCTCTTATTTTCTTGTTAGGGGAGTTGATTTCATTTGGGAATCAGTTCCTAGTAGTTTTTTAAACAATTGTTTCGTAATAGACTTTATTTTTTAGAATAGTTGTAAAATTGAGCAGAAGATACAGACATTTCCCATACACCCCTGCGACAGAAGCATGCCCAGCCCCCCCTGCCGCCAATCATCGACAGCCTCCACCAGAGCGGTGCCTTCGTTATAATCAATAAGCCTGTCTTGATGTGTTATTACTAACTAAAGTCCCTAGTTGACATTAGGGTTCACTCTTGTGTTGTACTTTAGGTTTTGACAAATGCATGATGTCACGTATCCCTCATTACAGTGTCACACAGAGTAGGTTCACTGCCCTAAGAGTTCTTGGTGCTCTGCCTGGTCTTCCCTCCCCCCCACTAACCTCTGGCAACCACCAATCCTTTTACTGTCTCCAGTTTTGTCTTTTCCAGCATGTGATGTAGTTAGAATCACGTACTGCATAGCCTTTTCAGATTGGCTTTTTTCACTTAGTAATATGCATCTAAGGTTCCTCTGTGTCTTTTTGTGGCTTGGTTATTCAATCCTTTTCAGTGCTGTTAATATGCCATCGTTGGATGTGCCACAGTTTATTTATCCATCACCTCCTGAGGGACATCTCGGCTGCTTCCGAGTTTTGGCAATAGGAATAAAGCTGCTGTGAACATCTGTGTGCAGGTTCATGTGGCCGTACGCGTTCAGCTCTTTTGGGTAGATACCAGGGCACATGAGTGCTGGGTCATGTGGCGAGAGTATGTTTAGTTTAGTAAGAAACTGCCAAACTGTCTTGTAAAGCGGCTATACCATTTTGCATTCCCACCAGCAGTGAATGAGAGTTCTGTGGCTCCACATCCTCGCCAGCACATGGCGGCGCCGGTGTTCTGGGTTTCAGCCATTCTGGTCGTCTGATAGGTGTGTGCTGGTGTCTTCTCGTTGTTTCACTTTGCATTTCCTTGATGACATACAGTGGAGCATCTGTTTTTATGCTTAGTTACCATCTGTGTATCTTTGGTGACGTATCTGTTAAGGTCTTTGACCCATTTTTTAATCAAGGTGTTTTTTTTATTATTGAGTCTTAAGAGTTCTTTGTATATTTTGGATGACAATCTTTTACCAGCTGTGTGTTTTACAGAGATTTTCTTCTAGTCTGTAGCTTGTCTTTTCATTCTTTTGACGTGTTTTTTTTTTTCTGCACAGCAGAAATTTTTAAATTTAACGAAGTCCATCATATCAGTGATTTCTTTCATGGATCGTGTCTTTGATGTTTATCTAAAATGTCATCACCACACTAAAGTCATCTGGATTTTCTCCTGTGTTACCTTCTAGGAGCTTTATAGTTCTGCATTTTTACTTTTAGGTCTGTGATTCATTTTGACTTAATTTGTGTGACGTGTACAAGGTCTGTGTCTAGATCCATTTTTGTGTGTGGATGTCCCGTTGTTCCAGGCCTGCAGTCTTGTGAGTAGCTATGACAAAACTTACCTGTTGAGCCTGATCAGTCCCATCATGCCCTTCACCGTTTTCTTAAACTTCTTGTATTCAAATCAATGATGCATTTATAATTTGAAGAGCAGTCATTACCTAACTGGAAAATAAAATAGCATCTATTAACATAAAAGTTAAACAAAAATTACCCAAAGCTTAAAAGAATCACTAGAGTATACTATCTTGTGATGTAGCATTCAGGTGATGGTGCATGTTTCTCGTAGTGTGGCGGGCACGAACACTGAGAAGCTGTCGTTGAATTTTGCTGGCGTTTAGCTGACTGCCATGTTCCTGTCTGTGCCCTGGGCGCGCCCTCTGGGAGCAGTGACATGCAGCACTGCATAGGGGGTTGGTGGTTTCCAGTAGTTTCGAATTTAGAGTATAATACTTGAGTGCATGTTATTAAAAAGTAATAATTTATTTAAAATGCAGTTCTAATCAATTACAGCACCTCTAAATCACATCCATGGAACGCAGTTTGCTGTGGAAATGTTAACCAATGACAGGGTGTTTGACGTAGAGAATAGGGCTTTGTACACAATAGGCATTCCATACATATTTGCTATTATATCTACATATTTTAGTAAATATTTATATCTGAAATATCTTAGCTATTTTAATACAATTTTGTTAAATATCTTAAATATAAAGTATCTTAAATGTTTTATCTTTGCAAATTCTCCTCAAGAACATATCCGTAGAAAATGCGGTGTGTAAGTCCGGGTCCAGGTGTTTATTGTTCCTGCAGATTACTGAGTTAACCTTTCTCTTATTCACAGGCTAAAAGGTCAGATTCCTGAAATTAAGCAGACTTTAGAGATTCTAAAATACATGCAGAAGAAAAAAGTAAGTGTATTTTTGTTTGTAAATATGAGCGAACCAGGATACTTCAGCCGAGGTGCGTCCTCCTTGACTGTTTGTCACTGGTGTTTGATCTGTGCCGGAAGGGCCAGTCAGCCTTCTTGGGCACGTGTTCTGATGTTACAGACAGTGTGCTTCCGTGACAAACGTGGCTTTAGGGTACGCCCCCACTCCCGCAAATCAGATTTAACGCTAGGGCCCACACGTCTGGGATTATTTTATTTATATATAGTTTTTGCAAAACTTCAGTGCAGTTCGAACTTCTTTTAGGCACAAGAAGAAGATGTCTTATTTCGAAGTAGTAGCATCTAAGGGTTGTTGTTGTTGCTGTTCGCCCTACGAGCAAGGAGTGAGTCCAAGACTTACAGAGCGGGAGAGAATTTAGAAGTTAACGTTTCAGGTTCTCATTTCACAGTCACAGGAAGTTACATTGCTGGTCACCGGCAGAGCGGGATTCGAACATCTTCTGAGTGTTAGTCCACTGCTTCTTAAACAGTAGCAGGCTGGAAAGATGAGATTTCATGAGGATATGAGATTTAAAAGATTCTGTGTGTGTGTGTGTGTGTGTGTGTGTACAGAGAAAATGTATAAGAATCTTCATAACAGGATTATTCATTATAGTCAAAAGCTAGAAAGTACTAAAATGCCCATCAATAGTAGTAAATACATAAAATGAAATACTATCCTGAATACTATGTGTGTGTGTGTGTGTGTGTGTGTGCGATGTATTACTTGACTGGTAGAATTAACTGCATGTCCAGTGCATTATTTTATGTGGTGATCTTTGTAAGACACTTGAGCGAACTGGTTGCTTGGGCATGACATACTGATGAAGCGGTAATAATAGCTAACTCCTGTATTGCGTGCGTGTGTGTGTGTGTCTGTGTGTGTCCGCGTGTGTCTGCGTGTGTGTAACCTCCGCTTGTGGCGGCCTTCAGAGGTGCAGGGACCATAATCCTTATTTTACACACGAGGAGCCTGAGACACAGACGGGTCAAGTCATACGCCCGATGCGCACAGGTGGCAGGTAGTTGAGCCAGAGTCCACGGCGTCCTCGCCCGCCATCTGGGTCCAGGCATTCGTGTGTTTTGCTACTGCGCTTCGTCCGCATGACGCTGCTGCTTTCAGTGGCTTAGGTTCAGCTGCGAGCTCTTCTCCTTTGTAACCTTGGTGTCGTACTCGCCTGTTCACAGCACTGTCGTTTTTTTTGAAGGAGTCCACTAGCTCACTGGAGACCAGATTCTTACTGGCAGATAACCTGTATTGCAAAGCTTCAGTTCCTCCTACTGATAAAGTGTGTCTGTGGCTGGGGGTAAGTACGTGTGACAGCTGCGGCCTCTCCGGCCGGCCTTCGCAAACCCGTGTGTTTTCCCAGAACAGCAGTATTGTCTGAGCTACGTAAAGTGCTTCGCTCCCTTCGACTGTGGAAGGAGTGAAGGGGTGGAGTTCAAGTGCGTCTTAGAAAAGGACTGATTTTTCGGAGTGTGGCGGTTTGCCGCGAAAACATGCCAGGTCGCTCCCAGTCCAAACGAGACTGACCCAGAGACCGCCGCCCCTCCCGCCGACGCTTTGCCTCTTAAGTGTAGCGGGAGGAAGGGACCGAAGCACCTCAGACAAGGGTTTCTTCCCAGTAGGAGCTCGTAAGTTCTAGAAAGATCTCTCCAGACTGAAGGGGGAAAAGATTATTACAAAAACCTTGAGGTTGGAGCCCAGTCTTTAGACAATATACTTCCATTGTAGACGATGTCGTCAACCTGGTCTCTGATTTTTTCCTGTCTTACTCCTCCCGGTCCCCTGACCAACCAGCCAAGCCATTCCTGAGTGACTAGCTAGCTGGCTGTCCGCAGGTCTCATTGCCTCAGGCAAGTTGCCATACAGAGTGGCACGCCAGCGCGCTGCTCCCAGCTGCCCCCACTGGGAGGGACCCCCTTGCTGCTGTCCTGTAGACTGTCCCCTGAGAGGCGTGTCAGTGCCACGAAACAGGGACAGAGCAGCACATGGAGACTCACTTCTCTGTCCCGTACTTCCTCCTCCCGATTTTTGTTCGTTGTAATATTTTCAGAGGTCGCACATTTAATTCTGCAACCATAATTCCCATCCTTGTTGAGTTTAGTTCTGTAAACAGAACTGCCATTCACCCAGTGGCTCCAGTCCTAGGGGTCATGGTCATTCTCCTTGGTTTCTTTTTCCCTCCACCCGCACCCCATCAGCAAGTGGGGATCGGGCGATCCCTTTCATTGCACTGGGACAGCAGGACGCCCTCTGGTGACAGTGGCCGCTGGAGCCCACTCACATCTCACACCAGGATGAATTCCAGATAAGTCACATACTCACATGAAATCCTCACACCATCAAAGTTTAGGCCAAGTCATAGACGACTCATTTTGTAACTGGAATAAGGATGGTTGTTTTAGGCCACAAAAGTCAGAAATCATAAGCAAAGTTAAAAGACAATGAGCAGGAAAAAAATTTGTAGGTCACATTGCAGCAAAGGACTAACGGGTTTGAGGGTGACTTGGAGTTAACGCTTGGGGCATGTCAGTCTTGAGATGCCTGTTAGACCGTCACATGTCTGTGTTTGACAGGCGACCCAACTAAGGAGAAATACTTGGCACAGGCTGCTTCGTGAGTGAACATGTGTTTTGACATAAATGACATGTTTTCAAATGTATTCTATTTTTTCTTGTGAAAAGTAAGCAAATCGCAGACATTTCTGAAAAAAAAAAAGAGTAAGAAACAACAGCAGTCGACTCAGGAATGAGATTGGGGGGCTCTGAGATTGGAGAGACACACACTTTCCATGGAATTTTTTTGGTCCTATCTGAAGTTTGATACAGTAATGATCATGGCTCGGGTTATTCCGTCATCATTTACGCAGCACCTGCTTTGTGCCAAACACTTTCACGTTGTCCCGTTTAATCCTTAACAATCGTTTGAGTAATTTTTAGATTCCATCGGTCAGCTGAGGAAAGCGGCTCGGGAAGTGCCCGATGGTAAGTCAGGTGATAGGAGGATTTCGGAGCCGGGGAAGGTTCGATTTGGCACCACCACAGAGCGTGCGGCCCCACTTGTGGGCCGTGACACCACATCTTCCGAATTGCAGACACAGTCCCCTTCCTGTGCCCCTAGCATCTGTTGGAGGTAGGAAGGGGACAGTAGAGCCAGCTGTTTTTCTCATCGGATCAAATGTCAATAATTTCTATGTCTTTGAAAACTTTGACATTATTGTATGTTAAGCTCAGCAGCAACCATTTAAACGGATTCGAATGCAGTACCATTTAGTGTCATGATGGAGTTAGTAGAACGATAGGATTTGGTACCCGAACATGTTGCTTCTCACCCAAACTCTCCCATTTACTCATTGGCCACGTGAGCACGGGCTGCCTGACCTCTCAGGACCCATTTTCTTAACCGTAAAGATGAAGATAACGTGCCTCACCAGGGCGGTTATAAGAACTAAACGACATAATGTACGTAAATATATTCTCTAACCCCGGGTCAGTAACCTTCCGTAAAAGGCCAGAGAGCGAATATTTCGGGTTTGCAGACCACTTGGTCTCTGTCACAGCTGCTCAGCTCTGCCACTGTGGCACGAAGGCCTGAGAGGGGAATGGCTGGCTTCCACCAAAACCTAAGGCAGAAGGCAGCAGCTGGCTTTGGCCCGTGGGCCGTAGTAAGTGCCGCGCGAACGTTAGTAATCGTCTTGACTCTCTCCCTTCAGGCTAATGTAATGCTCGAGTATGATATTGACGAAGCTCAGGCCCTGTTGGAAAAGAATTTATTGACTGCAACGAAGAATCTTGATTCTCTGGAGGAAGACCTTGACTTTCTTCGCGATCAATTTACTACCACCGAAGTCAGTATCCTTTCTTGGAAAAGAAACGAGGAGGAAGGAGAGGGATGTTTTTAACATTCTTACTTGCTTCGCTTTAATGAGAAGAATGTCCTCATCCTTCGACCCGTCAGTCTTTCCTCATGCGCACTGGCCTCATTCTGCTCCGGCCCTCCCCCAGCGCACCCCAGGTACCTCGTCACCCCAGTCCGTCATTCTCACCCCCTGCAATGGGCCACAGCCTTTGCACTTTCCCGCTGCGTCTCCTACCTGTTTCCCGGGTGGCTCCTTTTTATCATTCACATTTCAGCTCAAGCATCAGAACATTTCTGAACGCATCCTACCCGTCTCAGGGCGTCTTGTCCCTCCGCCCTCACTTAGTGCGTCGTGCGTCGTGTGCCTTCCACACCGGGCCCGGAGCCCTTCCGGTGTAGGAGCTGTCCTTTGTCTCTCTTCGTCACAGCAGGTAGCACAGGGCAGGCGTTGAGTGCGTGGCAGAGGGAGGGCAGGCCTGTCTGAGGCCTAGAGCCGGGAGTGGCATGGGACGGGTAATGCGACAGCTTTGTCCAGAGGGGAACAACCCGCACAGTTCCTAGAAGGTAACATAGGAGAAAACGTAGGTGACCTTGAGTATGATGATGACTTTTTAGGTAAAACGCCAAAGGCATGGTCCGTGAAACAAAGAATTGACGTGTGAGAGCCTATGCAGGGTAGGAAGGAAAATATGTAGATGCTTAATAAATCCAGTGAATGTCCTGTTAAACCGAAGGGAAGGCGAGACAATTATTAATCAAATTGTACTGATTTAACTCTTACGTATCAGGATAGGGTTTGAACGTTCTTTGAAATTTTGTGGATGAGGGACTCCCTTTAAGACTGTTGACGATGTCAGCCACATATTCGTTAAATATATTCGTACTTGACTAGATTTGCTAAACAGTTGTCGATCCGAGGCCTCCATTGGTTTTGGTGGAATTTAGTTCCAATATTTTCTTAGCAAATGATATCATGGCAAGATGGCTCACAGCACTTCTTGTCACCAGTACTTCGGGTGTGTGATTTCTGTCTTTGATTCAGTGTGCGAGTGAAAACTTAGTCATTGCATCTGTTATTTTTAGAATTGCATTTGCATTTTCTTTGACAATTCTTGCAGATATGGCCAGGGTTTATAACTGGGATGTAAAAAGAAGAAACAAAGAAGATTCTGCCAAGAACAAAGCATAATGCTGGCAATTAAAAACGTGGTTCAGTTTTCCAAACGTTATTTTAAATACCCCAAAGTTTATCCTTAAAAGTTGACATAATTTTGAATGATTTTTAAGAGTAAGAATGATAATTAAATCTTTAAAATAGGTAAACACCATTTTATTTATTTATAAAAACAAAAGTAGTTGCAAATATTTTATGAAATTAGCAGTATTTTTATTTTTTTTTGCCTTTCCAGCAGATCAAATGCTGCTTTTGTAATTTTTTTTTTGTTTGTCATAAGAAAAGTCTTAGCTGAAATGACTTAAAACCCAGGTATGTGCTGTGAAACTGAATTCTGCACACTTTAGCACAGATTAATTTTTCTTTTAATTAGCTGATGTTACTCTCACTTGATGTGGTCGAGCCAGTTTAGAGGTAGGAAAAAGTCAGTTCGAATATTTGCAAAATCGTTTTTCTTTAGTACATGTGGGGCTGTATGGCCCTCTGCTGCTGTTATTTGTCTTATGTAAGTGGAGTGTCATGAATTACTGCTTAGCCAATAAGTATCTATTACAATATTCTGTACTTTTCAGGAAATGCTAATTTCCCTTCCGAAACAGTAAGAGGGCTATTGAGACAACACTTTTTCTTACCCTGTTTAAGTGCACAGTGTCCTTGCAATGCCAACATAAGGGAGATTTGAGCCAACATGGAATAACAAAATTACTCCCTCAAAACTCTTGGCTTAAAGCGATTATGTATTTCTTAACAGTTCTCCAAAGCAGCTGAACAGGAATATTAAGTAAATATAAATCTGCAATGGTTGAAAAGGCCCGCGAGCTTTTTTATTTATGTTAAAACCTCATAGGAATAGTAGAAAGTCTACATGGAAAGCCATCAGTATTGTGGCTGCTCTTGGGTGCTGCAGATTCTGGTAAAAACGCAAATATTATTCCATTTCCATGTAGTTAAGAGTATACTTGTATAACGTTTTGTAGTTGTATTTCATGATATTAAAACAGTGAAGTTAAAACTGTTGTGTGGCACCTTTTTTCACGTTACTCTTTCAAAAGTCAACATGGGTCTTTTCACATATTTATAAAGTTTATTTACTTGTACATATAACTAGCATGTCCCAAGAACTTCTTATGTTTGTAGAAAAAACAAAGTCCTTTTGGAAGGAATGCAGATAAGAAAACAATTGAGGAGTTAAATCTGAAAGGTAACCGAAGTTCCTTGAGTCAGTTTTTCTTTTGTAATTTGAAATTCGCATATTTTAGAATTTGAGGTTTATAAACATCTTGAGATATTGTAAGTGCTACTTTCCCCCAAACTTTACTATGGTAAATATGTTGGTACAAAATGTCCTTGGTAATAGGACAGGAATGATTTGCTCAGAAGATTTTTATTTTCTTAAGTCCGTGAAGATATAAATAAGAATTTTTAGGTATTCTAGGTAATGTGAAGAGACACAGCTCTTTAGAAATGAGAATTAAAGAGCAAAAGTTGAGTTAATTATTCAACAAATACACACTCACACACATCCACCCACCCACCCAGTATGTTTCAGGAATAGTTACCATGCTCTGTTAAATAAAACAGATATTTAAGTCTTGCTTCAGCCAGATTATTTCTCTTGTAATGGTTTACATTTTCAGAATAACATAACCATCCTGATTTGACATGGTATTTTGAAGCTTAATCTTTGTAGAGTATACCTAGAGAGACTATGGGCAAAACACTGACTACAAAACTTGATATGGGGTAGATACCGGGTAATGAATATGTTGGAAATGCAACTGAAATTTAGCTGTTTTTCCATTATGAAACATGTTCATTTGAGAAAATTTAGAAAATAGGGAGGAAAAGACTTTAAGTTCCACTCGTAGTCTGCCTTAATAGTTCTGTCTTCCATTTCTTTCTCAATGCATAGGGTTTTTTTTCAGAACATAATGGAAATAATTTCATCTTTAACATTTTTATCCTACTTTCTTCACAATATGGAATTCGCTTATATAGCACTATTACATTAACATCATTTTATTAGTTTCATAGTAGTATAATGGATGAACCTATAGTAAACTGAGTTGGACATTTGGGTGGTTTTAATTTTTTTTTCTCTATTATAAGTAAAAAACTTACATTTTTTTTATATAAGGCTTTTTCTTGTATTTAGGATTTTTTTCTTTTTTTCTGAGACTGGATTGCCAAACAAATGGAATTACAGAGTTAAAGATGATAGTATATGTTTTCTGGGGTTAACAGTATTTTGTCGCAAGCGATGTCGGGACGATGGAAAGCACAATTCCTCACCTCCACTGCCCCTACCCGCCTCTACCATACAGACCCTGCTGGTTGCAGAGAGAGGGACCTTACCCAAGGCCGCATAGTCAGAACGAGACCCACAGATCCAGCGCCTGTGCGAATTTCCATCCCTCAGTACCACAATGCCTCACTCCTTTATTTAAAGATGGCTAATAACTAAGTTTGGCACAGATGTTCACTTCACTCCTATAGTGGATGAATACTCTTTGTATGTTTGCCATTCTCTGCCCTAAACCTCAGTGATGCCTTTAAGGGTGTTAAACCATTTCTTAAAGGTTTGTCTTGGTCGGTATCATCCTGTGATAGCCACGTCTTTGCCCATTCGGTGCTAGTGTGGGATTGTGTTGCCTCTGCAGATGCTGTGGAGTGCGTGTGCGACACTCATCACGGCTGGCGTTGGCTTCAACTACGCGTTTAAACTCCCAAGACCTCGCTAGGCCATGCCTGACGATGGTTTACTCTGAGGGACATGGGGCAGGCAAGGCCATGCCAGGGGGTGGCTTTAGGCACAATTCTGTGGGAATTCTCGCAGCAGTCCCCACAGACGACACAGGTGGGTGCAGGAGTCCCCCTGGCTTAGAAGCCATAAGGGACCACTCTCCCTTTTTAACAGTCCCCTGCGCCTAGCGTCCCCAGATCCTGAGCAGGGACAGGCCCCAGGAATAAGGGGCACACTACACTTGGGGGGCCTGAGCTGTGACTCACAGTCCTCTGTGTTCAGACACAATACCACCCAGGGTATTCTGCCAGAGGCAGGTTCGCTGGCCACACAGCTGATGGTCCACCTTCAGGTTTCCAGGGCAACTGAGCTAGAAAAGTAATTCAAGTCAGTTCGTCACCTCGAAAGGGGAAAGGGGTTTTGAACACCTCTCACTCATAGCCTGTTGAATCTTGCATAACTATGGCCCAGTTTTTGATGAAGGCTCACTTCCTCTTCTAGT